TTCAATTAATACTATATATTGTTAATTTTTCAGAGAAAAAAATATTTATACCCCAGGTAAAAAAAGAAAAGAAAATATTTGGAAGGTGAGTTCTATGAGTTCTATGGCGTTAGGTTTTGACAAAGTTAAATTTGAAATTATGTTTCAATTGAATTTAAGAGAAGTGGAAACAAAAAATAAGGATACAGAAATTTTATTAGAGCTACAAAAGCTAAACATCAAAACATGTCAAAAAGCAAATATAATTGTATATAATAATACCCATCTCTCTTTTCTTCTTCTTTTTCTTTTTTGTTTTTTTCACAAAATCTGTGTTCTTAAAATTTTATTGTCAAAACATTTAAGATTTTTTTTTTTATCAATAATGTAAATTTTAAGATTTAAAGACATTCTAAATTCATTCTTAAAAATTACATGAAGGAAAAAAAAAATAAATAAACTCAAAGCATATAATACGAAAAGAAAAAAAATCACTATCACAATTAGCATCGATGGAGTTGAATGACTTATAAAGTTTTGATATTTCGTCTACGTTTCTTGTGCTAACAAGATCAATTACTTTGTTCAATTCCACCATTTCTTTATATGTGAGGTCATTCATTGTTAGATACAAAGACTAATATTAAACCCTAAAGAGAGAGCGAAGATAATTAATATGAAGTAGAAAAAGAATTAGTGCAAATGTAAAAAATTATGCAGTGCGAGATAAGATGATAAAAATACATTTTTGTTTTAAAAATTAATTTTTAATATCCCATGAAAAAAGGAACTGACATATTAACACATGAAAAATCTTACTTTCTCTTTGGTTTTTACCCATTCGGTCCTTGTATCATTTTCTTACTTTAAATTGAACAAAATAAACTTGTCTTTCATGCATGAAAAGTGTGGGCCTGAACTCTTCTTAGTGACACAATTACACTTAAGACATGGCCCACAAGTCACATGTCTGCTATGGGAAGAATCCTTCGTCAATTCAACCATTGTAAGTCAGTTCACAATTGTTGGAATGGAAATTTCTACACAAAGTGTTGACCACTAAATCCGCAGAATTTAGAAAATAATTGACACTCTAGAACCAAAAGTTTCGTTGTTGTGCAAGAATGATCGAACTTAGTCTCTTTTAAAAAAATAGTCGACCAGACAATTATAAATTGAGAGAACATGAAACTTTCTTTTAAATCAAAAGAATTGCAAGGAAATGAATGTGGATTGAAATTGTAGACAAGTTGAAATTGAAAGAAAGTGATTGCAAAAGGAATGTAAAGAAATAAAGAATCTAACTAAGTTGAATTAGAACTTTTTTTTTGGTTTTTTTTTTTTTTTTTTTCCCTTCAAGATAAAGTGTTAAAGGTTAGATTAGTAGATGTAGAGAGTCGAAACCTAACACTCCAAAGTCCACTAAAGAAAATTTAATTATGCTAAGGATTCTGAAGGTGCTACACTCTTTACACAATCTACTAATACTATTATTTATAATATTATTAAAGTTGTTCTAAGCTGCTTTTTTATTTATCCGTCGTAGTTTGTATTTGTTAATTTGAATAACTATCGATCTGTTTTTCACTACCGCATGTGGTAATCATAATTGTTCAGAAGCACAAAGGCACACAAGTCTTCGTAGTTGTGAGTTGTGTATGAGGTTGGGAGTGCCGACTAAATCAAGTCACATTGAGTGTGTTTTTTAAATTTATAATTGAGTAATGATATTCACACCTATTTATCTAGTCAATTACTCTTGGGGGTTTTATCCATCAAATATAGTGAATAAGTTCAGGTGTGAGTTCCAATCACTGCATTAAATGAATAAAATACAAATATGTAACGAAATTCAGCTTGGGAATCATTTTCCTTTTTTCATTACATTGAGTGCACTCGGTCTTTCATAAGATCAAAGGACAAAGCTCGCTCGCTACATATAACACTCACACTTATCGCTTATGAAACAAATCCTCATATGCAACAGGAAGAATTCCACATAAAGGCATTCGAAGGCTAGAAATGGAGAAAAATAAACAAGCACCTATGTGTTTCTTTTTGTCCGCTTTTAAGAAGGAAATTAAGAATCATGGGGACATATCACTAGGCCACAAGTTCATTGGTCTAAATTTAATAAATCTGTTAGTTAGAGAATTATTTCTATATATTTATTAAATAAATAATATTATAAAATATTATAATTTTATTTTAATTTTATAAATTCTATATACTTTTAATAGTATTATATCTTTAAGAATCATGCGGGCATATCACTAGGTTACAAGGTAATTGTGTTCTTTATTGTTAAAATTTTTAATTCAAACCAATAGGCCTGTGGCCTAATAGTACAAAGCCCCAAAGGGAGGTAAGGGGTTCAAACCTCAATGAATGCAGTGTATGTGAGTCCCTAGTAAGGAAAAAAAAAAAAAAAAAAAAAAAATTAATTCAATTAAACAAAATTATTTTTTATCAGATAACATAAAACAAAAAAAATAAAAACTGATTTGAAATGTTTGATTAAACTACTATTTGTTTATCAGTTGTGTTTATTAAAATAAAATAAAATAGAAGAGTTTGTAGTGTTGGTTAAAATAAAATAATATTAAAAAATGATCCAAAACTATTTGTGAAGAAACGAATCTGTATCTGTTTCTAAATTGTCAAGGAGTTGGGGATTTTCAAAATATTGAAAAAGTTTACAGAATAATTTAAAAGCCTTTTAGGATTGTAATGATTGAATGGAATTGTATATTACTAGCAGTACAAGGCTCCTACTTTTCAAAGGGAGGTTAGGGGTTCGAACCTCAGTGAAGGCAGTGTGTGTGAGTCCCAAGTAGGAAAATAATAATAATAATAATAATTCAATTAAACAAAATTATTTTTTATCAGATAAAATAAAACAAAAAAATTAAAAACCGATTTGAAATGTTTGATTAAACTACTATTTGTTTATCAGTTGTGTTTGTTAAAATAAAATAATATTAAAAAATGATCCAAAACTATTTGTGAATAAACGAACCTGTGTCTGTTTCTAAATTGTCAAGGAGTTGGGGATTTTCAAAATATTGAAAAAGTTTACAGAATAATTTAAAAGCCTTTCATGATTGTAATGATTGAATGGAATTGTACATTACTAGTAAATTAGTTTAGAACATGCAAGTACGCTAGAATTTTCTATTCATTATTCAATTTGAGTCAATTTTTTTCTCTCTTTTCATTTCTCTCAACTAATATTATCTTTTATTTTCGAGGACTTTACGATACCACTCAGAATCAACATAAAAAATGTGTTTACATAAGTTTTTAAATATTCCTATTTTGGAATGTCTAGATTTATTTTGAAAATGTTGGGTTCATTGGAAATACTTAATTACGTTTGAAGTTTTTGTAACAAATTGTGCATATGAACATCTAGGGCGTAGCAATTAGGGATGGCACGGTACGCCGCCCGGCTTCAGTTTAATTTAGTACAATAAATTAAATTATGGTAAATAAAAAGACGTGAGTGGGCCAGTAATGCTTCTATAAGGTGCATCATTAGACTGTGATGTTATTCAGACCTAATAGTCCTAATACTCAACCCTAATACTTCAGACCTAATAGTCCTAATACTCAACCCCAGTACTCTGTCGTCCCTCAGTTAGCATACTCGGAAAAACTCTCCAGCCTGAGAATCAAAAAATTTGCTACTCAAAACTCCGAAATTTAGTAAGGATTGGAGTAGCAATTTGAAAAAAAAAAAAAAAAAAAAAAAAAAAAAAAAAAAAAAAAAAACAACAGAGATTCTAAATTAGAACACGTTCTATTCTAAATTACATTTTCTTATAACATTCTAAATCAGTCTCTGTTTGTGCAAAGTAAGGGTTTGATCATTTTATCAACTTTTAAGAGAACAAAGAAGATCAAAAGAGAACTAATTTTGACAAAAAAAAAAAAAAAAAAAAAAAAAAAAGCTTATATCAGAACTATTTGGACCACCAAGCATTAGCCTGAGTTGCTACATAGCGTATCCACCAGGAAGCACTTATCAAACAGTTGTGAAACTGTAACGACCCACTCCACCACATGGTATGATATTGTCCGCTTTGGTCCTGAGCCCGCACGGTTTTGCTCTTGGGCTTTACCCCAAAAGGCCTCATATTGAAGATGACACACTTACATATAAGCACTTCACATTTCCTCTACCCAGGCGATGTGGGACTGTGCACCCGCAGCTCGCCAGTGTGGTAGCCTGTCAGTGTCTCTCGTACCCGCCCACAGGGTCATCACAATCCACCCCCCTTGGAGGCCCGACGTCTCCGTCGGCACACTTCCGGCTGGGTCAGGCTCTAATACCATTTGTAACGACCCACTCTACCACATGGTATGATATTGTCCGCTTTGGGCCTGAGCCCGCACGATTTTGCTCTTGGGCTTCAATCAGAGCCTGACCTAGTCGAAAATGTGCTGACGGGAAAGTCGGGCCTCCAAGGGGGGTGGATTGTGATGACCCTGTGGGAGGGTGTGCCGTAGACGGATGCGAGAGACACTGTCAGGCTACCACACTGGCGAGCTACGGGTGCACAGTCCCACATCGCCTGGGTAGAGGAAAGGTAAAGTGCTTATATGTAAGTGTGTCATCTCCAATTGGTATGAGGCCTTTTGAGGTGAAGCCCAAGAGCAAAACCGTGCGGGCTCAGGCCCAAAGCGGACAATATCATACCATGTGGTGGAGTGGGTCGTTATAGAAACTCTCCATTAGACAATACAAAGATAGGTCAAGAACCAAATAAATACTAAATGAATTGTTGCAAACCTGCTCAGAACATAGGAAAGAAAGTAAAATTTGAAAATATATATATATATATATATCCCGATCACGAACTCTTTGGAAATTTTTGAATAATTCTTTCTTTTTCCAAAATTTTCCTTTATTTCAAACAAATAATTGGGATATTCCCCAGACTTTTTTCTCTCATCATAAACAACAAATTGAAGAGCCATATAATGAGCAAACAGAAACCAGAACAAATATATCTCTCTTTTGTTGGGAGAGTTAAAAAGACGGTATCATCCACGCAAAGTGCCCCAGTAAGGGCTTACAGGGCAAACACGCCAAGCCATATTTTCCATCTTGCCATGGAGATCAGACGAAGGAAAGAAAGCAATTACGCACCAGGCCGATTCTTCTGAAACAAAGCATTCAAAACCACCATTTATGGACTATTGTTACCTGAATAGTGATGAAGTATCGGTCAGCAATATAACCTTTCCTTTGTGAATGGTGCTTTTGGTATTCCCAATTAGAGGTTCACTGTAGGACTTCAGAGTGCAGCTCGCTTCAATTGTGCAATGGTCAGCACATAGCCTTCCAGACAATTACGCATCAGAGCTACATGACCAGGCTTCAAATTTATCAATGATGAGGTTTGCAACCCTGATGAGTTTCATTCAAGAAGAATCGCTACGAAACGATGTGTCTTCGTTCAAAGATGAGCTCAAGGAAGCATTGCAAGCATCCATAGGCAGCTGCAGAGACACAACAGGCTCACTAGAGCTTAGTTCTCCAAAAGCTAACTGCATATATACAACATAAATGTCAATACTACATTCAGTGCTGGAACTGATAATGAAGCACTAAATTTAGGCGCATGCAGCTCACAGGTAAAAGATCAGAACCTGGCTTTTAAAGTTTTCACGTATAATAGATTCAAGGTAAAAGATCAGGAGGATCAATTTTCTAGGACAGTTTCACATCTTACATCTAGAAGACTTGCAAAACCATAAGTCGTGCAATGCTATTACCTAAAACTGTGTAACCCTTACTTTATTTTCTCAAATTATAATCTCGAGTGGCCTCGTGTGATAATATCATAATTTGCATTCCACTAGTTATTTTTCTGTCCGGCTGTGGTTACACTTCAAGGCTTAGATTCAAAAAATTCCCTTCCATGATAATGTTAAAAATAAATAAAAAGAAGAAGAAAAAGATAAATAGGTCTTGATAGTTGGTTTGTTAAAAATAATTAATGCCATGTTTATTCATGTATATGTTCATTCATGCATCTATTATTGTACATGTATCAAGTGGATACATGTATCAAGTGTGTGCATGTATCATGTGTGTGGTTGAGATTGTCTTGAAAAGTTCAAAGGTCTATGGGAGAATAGTATATATAGGGTAATGTATTTGTTGTTAAGATATGAACACAACAAAGAATTCAATTCAATACAATATTTGTTTCTCTCCTCTCTTCACTTAGAAATTATTTAGTTGGTTGAAACTATAGCCAACATAAGTGGTATCAGAGCTTGATTTCGATCAAGAGCAAACTGGGCGTGAAGCTTATTGACGATAAAACAAACCCCGAAGAAGATCCATCGTGATGGCGACTACAGGCAATCAAAACTAAGGTACCCATCAATCAGCACTTCCCATTTTTGATGGGGAAAATTATGATTTTTGGTATGTAAAGATGAATACCATTTTTCTCTCATATGATTTATGGGATTATGTTGAAGATGAGTATGATGAACCAGAGGATACAACAACTTTGACGAATGCCCAAAGACAACAATTGAAAGATCGTAAGAAGAAAGATGCAAAAGCTTTAGGCTTGATTCAACAAGGAGTTACTGATACAATCTTTCCTAGAATTATCAATGCTTCTAAAGCAAAGGAGGCATGGGATATTCTCGAGAAGGAGTATAGAGGCAGCACGAAGGTAAGAACTGTAAAACTTCAATCTTTGAGAAGAGATTTTGAAAATATGAAAATGAAAGAAATGGAGTTGTTGAAAGATTATTTTTCTAAACTTATGGAGGTGGTAAATCAAATGAAGACCTATAGGGAAGATATTTCTAATCAAATAATTGTTGAAAAAATTCTGATTAGTTTGCCGGAAAAATATGACTCTATTGTTGCTGTTATTGAAGAGACTAAAGAGCTTGAAAACTTGAGTGTTGAAGAATTGATGGGTTCCATAAAAGCATTTGAGCAAAGGTTGAGTAAGTGCTCCGAAAAGACAATTGAAAGTGCTTTTCAATCCAAGCTCAATGTTAGTTCCAAAAATCAAGAAAAATATCCATCAAGTTTTGATCGATCCAAAGGTGAATCTTCTAGAGGTGGAAGACACGGAAGAGGAAGAGGAAGAAATTCAAGAGGAAGAGGAAGAAATAATTTTGAGAGAAGTGGAAATATAGAGTCCATTCAACAAAATTGTGGAATTTGCAAGAGAAGTAGCCATGTTGACAAAGATTGTTGGTTTCGGGGAAAACCTCAATGTTTCAATTGCAAGAAATTTGGACATGTTCAAAAAGATTCCCGTTTGAAAACAAATCAGTAAGCTAATTTTTTCGAAGAGCAAGAAGGTGAAACGAGCATGTTTTATGCTTGTCACTCAACATCGGAACAAAATGATGATGTGTGGTTTCTTGATAGTGGGTGTAGTAACCACATGACCGGAGATAAAAACATATTCTTGGAGATTGATTCTTCATCCAATTCTCAAGTGAGGATGGGAAACGGTGCCTTGGTCCAAGCAAAGGGAAAAGGTACTATTGCCATAGAGACAAAAAAAGGAAGAAAGCATATTCGGGATGTGTTACTTGTTCCGGATTTGGAGCAAAATTTGTTAAATGTTGGACAGCTTGTAGAGCATGGGTACTCCATTCATTTTGATGAAAACTCTTGCAAAATTTATGACAAGGGAGGACAAAATCATATTGTAGCAAAAATCAAGATGGGCAAAAATAGAAGCTTTCCTCTCACTTTTTCATGTTCAAAAAATATGGCCTTGAAGATGGATGTTGTTGATGAGTCTTGGCTTTGGCATAGAAGGCTTGGCCATTTGAATTTCCAAAGCTTAAAGAATTTACAACAAAATAGCATGGTGTATGGGTTGCCAACAATACAAGAAGTTAAAGAAGTTTGTGAAGGTTGTGCTCTTGGCAAGCATCACCGAGAGTCATTTCCGAAAGAGAAGGCATGGAGGGCTAAAGCACCATTGGAGCTTGTTCATACCGATGTGTGTGGACCGATGACAACACCAACTCAAGCGGGTAACAAGTATTTTATTATTTTCATTGATGATTTTTTAAGAATGACATGGATTTATTTCATGAGACAAAAATCAGATGTGTTCTCTATTTTCAAAAAATTTCAAAAGCTTGTTGAAAGGCAAAGTGGCCATCTTATCAAAGTGTTAAGAAGTGATAGAGGTGGAGAATACAACTCAAATGAGTTTGAAAAGTTTTGTGAAGATATTGGCTTGGAGAGACAATTAACGGTTGGGTACACTCCACAACAAAATGGAGTGGCAGAAAGGAAAAATAGAACAATCATTGAGATGGGAAAATCAATGCTTCATGAGAAGGGGCTACCTAAATCATTTTGGGGTGAAGCCGTGTATACGGCTGTTTACTTGATGAATAGGAGAATAAAACTCCATTTGAAGCATGGAGTGGAAGGAAGCCATCATTGAAACACTTAAAAGTTTTTGGGTATATTTGTTTTGCTTATGTTCCAAGAGAAGTGAGGCACAAACTTGATGAAGCTAGTGAAAAATGCATCTTTGTGGGTTATAGCTCAAAATCAAAGGGCTATAGACTCTTTAATTTGAAGAAGAATAAATTGATTATTTGTAGAGATGTTCTCTTTAACGAGAAGGCTGCTTGGGATTGGAAAGAGAAGAAAGTTCAAGATCAAATCCCCATTTTCATTGAAGAATCAGGAAATCAAGAAAATGAAAATGAAGATTTTCTTGAAGTTCCACAAGAAATGTCTCCCGTATCTAGCTTACAATCAATCCCAACTTCTCCATCAAACTCAAATTCCTTATCTCCAAGTTCAACTCCAAGAAGAATGAAAAGTCTTAGTGATGTGTATGCAAGTTGCAATTTTTGTGTTGTTGAACCGAAGAACTTTGAAGAAGCAATTAAACAAGAGGCATGGAAGAAAGCTATGGAAGATGAAATTTATGTGATTGAGAAGAACAAGACTTGGGAGTTAGTAGAGAAGCCGGAAGACAAAGATGTGATTGGTGTGAAATGGATTTTTAAAACAAAATTCAATCCGGATGGCTCCATTCAAAAGAACAAAGCAAGACTTGTAGCAAAAGGGTATTCACAACAGCCCGGAATTGATTTTCAAGAAACTTTTTCACCCGTGGCTCGTCTTGACACAATTAGAGCACTCATTGCCTTGGCGGCTCAAAATGGTTGGTCCTTGTATCAACTTGATGTAAAATCAGCCTTCTTGAATGGTATTTTGAAAGAGGATGTCTGTATAGAACAACCTCAAGGCTTTGTTGCAAAAGGAGAAGAAGAGAAAGTTTACAAATTAAAGAAGGCTTTATATGGTCTAAAACAAGCACCCCGGGCATGGTATAGTGAGATTGATTCTTACTTCATCAAAAAAGGCTTTCAAATGAGCAAAAGTGAGCCAACCTTGTACTACAAGACACAAGGTAAAACTGGGATTCTTATTGTTTCTCTTTATGTTAATGATTTGGTATTTACCGGAAGTGATGAAAAAATGATTGATGGTTTTAAAAGAGAGATGATGAAAAAATATGAAATGAGTGATTTGGGTTTGTTGCATTACTTCTTGAGCATTGAAATTTATCAAAAAGAATGAGGAGTTTTTATTTGTCGAAAGAAGTATGCAAAAACTCTTCTTGAAAAATTCAAAATGTTGAATTACAAATCCGTTTGCACTCCCTTGGTTGTGAATGAAAAATTGATGAAAGAAGATGGAAGTAAAGAAGCGGATGCATCTCTTTATAGAAGCTTGGTTGGAAGTCTATTATATTTGACATCTTCAAGACCCGACATCATGTATGCTACAAGCTTCTTATCTCGGTTTATGCACAATCCGAGTCAAATTCATGTTGGGGCTGCAAAGAGGGTATTGAGATATATACAAGGTACACTTGATTTTGGTATCTTGTATGAGAAAAATGTTGATGCAAAGTTGTTTGGTTTTTGTGATAGTGATTGGGCCGGATTTGTTGATGATATGAGAAGTACTTCCGGTTATGCATTCTCTCTTGGTTCGGGTGTATTTTCATGGGCATCTAAAAAGCAAGAAACGGTTGCGCAATCTTCTGCCGAGGCTGAGTATATTTCAACATCAATGGCAGCGTCACAAACAATATGGCTAAGGAGAATTTTTGAAGATGTTGGTGAGAAGCAAAGGGAAGCTACTCCAATTTTATGTGACAACAAATCCGCAATTGCTATGACAAAGAATCCTATTTTCCATAGTCGCACAAGACACATTGCAATCAAGCATCACTTCATTAGAGAAGCCGTGGAGAATGAAGAGATTCAACTCAAGTATTGTAAGACAGAAGACCAAGTTGCGGACATTTTTACCAAAGCACTTCCAAAAAATAAGTTTGAAGACTTTAGAGAATTGTTGGGTGTCACAACATGGCATTAAGGGGGGTGTGTTAAAAATAATTAATGCCATGTTCATTCATGTATATGTTCATTCATGCATCTATTATTGTACATGTATCAAGTGGATACATGTATCAAGTGTGTGCATGTATCATGTGTGTGGTTGAGATTATCTTGAAAAGTTCAAAGGTCTATGGGAGAATAGTATATATAGGGTAATGTATTTGTTGTTAAGATATGAACACAACAAAGAATTCAATTCAATACAATATTTGTTTCTCTCCTCTCTTCACTTAGAAATTATTTAGTTGGTTGAAACTATAGCCAACATGGTTCTCCATTTTACATGGTGATTTTAGAGAGGAAACAACATCAATTAGAATCTAATATGAAAATCCTAAATTTTAAATAAAAACAACAGCACTTTGGCATGTATAGTTAGAATAAAGTGTTACCCAAGGGGACTGTAATGCATCTCCTGACTACTATCAAGACAACCTCCACATTAAACTCACCTCCTTGAACTCAAAAGGGTGCCTCAAGTGATTCATCCCAAACTTCTGCACTTCCATTAGATACATCTTCACCGTCTTCTTCCATCGAAAGCCTAATATATTCTCTATGTGCAAAGCGATCCCACCGTGTCAAAGTTGGATCTTCTCGTTCCTGCTTATACAACAAATGCCAATGACTGTTATATTTCCAGATATATAACCATCCATGTTGCAACTCACAATGTGTGGCCATGCAAAATCTACAGGACACTAATAAAATGTCTAATGTACCTGGCGAATGAGAAATGGATCACGAGTTTCAAAAGCCATGAATTTATTAAGATTGAAAAGAATATTGAAAGCATTTCCTGAAAGTTTGCATCCTTTCAAGTCATGCAGCGTGATGTAATCTTCCATCTGCAAGCAAGATGGTGTCATTGCCAGTGAAGGGATAATATCTAAACACAATGAAAGAGAAGTAAATTGAAGGTAATCATTAAAAAAGTAATTTTCAACCTCTGGTGAGATCATATCAACTATCTGACACAATATGTCCTCAAACAGAACAGGTTCTTGGGCCATGCATTCCATTCGATGCAACTGTTCCTCGTAAAAGAATTGCATCTCAGTGGATGTGAGAACCCCATTTCCATCCAAATCTATGCACTTAAACCTGAAAAAAAAAATTAAGAACTCGTGAAATGGGTGAAGCACATAACAAGCTAGTTCTTTGAGCTTGGAATCTTCACGTGGTCTGCAATGGCCTCTGGTACAGAGCTTTGTGGGTCCACTTTTCCTCCGATTACTTTCTTCTTCCTCACTAGGTTCAAAGCAAGGTCTTTTCTGTCAACACCAAAACTCGAATCATCTGTAGACCACTCACTTCCCCTGACTTCTTGAGCATTCAAAATCTGGAAACCCATTTGAGACTCTCTCTCCAAGATGGTTTATAGAAAGAGAAAGCTTAGGATCAACGGGAGAGGGAGGCATACTAAAGTTCATGATTGGAAACCCATGACACTATCACCATCATGATTCTTGATGTGTTGAAAACTCATTGGATTGAAAAAAAAAAAAAAAAAACCAGTTGAACCTAGGAGTAAAAAGAGAGTGAAGAAAAATGAAGAAAAAGTCCAAGAAACCAATTCTATTTTGCTGAACCAGCAAGGCTCAATTTTCGGACACAAATTTTGATTAGTTTTAGAAGAATCAGTGGGGAAGAGTACTGAGAGTTTGGAGGTATTTTTCTTGTTTCAAAAGCACAGAAAGCAATTTGCTCAAACCAATTGATGGTCCATTGGAATAATTCATAGGCGTCACAGATAAGGCTGTATTACTTAAATGGTAGAAGTCATTATTTTCACTATCAAAGTTTAGGCTCCGTGGAGGATGAAAATAACAAGGGAAAGAGTGGTCAGTTTTTGTTTATGGAATGATTGAAAAACTAATTTGGCGCTAAATTCTAAGAGGGAGGTTAAAGAGTTGGTGAGAGCTAAATTCTCTCCGTGCTTGCACGTGTAAGGACATGTCATTCCACGAATTGCAGCTTCGAGGAATGGATTTGGTGGTTGAATGCAATGCCGCAAACAGAGGCCTTGAGACTGAAAGAAGCAAAATAATGACCAGAAACTGGGTTTCTCTCAAAATCCTAGCTGACTAGAAAATCATTAAACAAATGAATTAAAAGATTTCATTTTTTTCATTCTCTTGTAAGATTATTTATTTAATTGTGCCCCACATGATTTGGACATGTGATATATTACTTGGTGGCTAAGTAAATAAATATCAATTAATATTATTTATTCTTGGTCAACTTATAATTACCTTTTTGGTAATTACTTATTGGAGAAGCGTTTTCTTTCTAATTCCTTACTTTGATGGAAAATAGAATGATGTTACTAAAAGGAAAACTGGTCCTCTCTCTACCTTTATAAAAGTGCATATACTCCATCAATTATGTACAATTAATGATACAACACGTAAAAGTTTAATGTGTGCAAAAGGCCAAGAGAAAGAAACCAATTTCCGCCTTTGTCTGTTGATTAAAGTTGCAGATGGTTCGTGGTTAGAGAATCTGGACGTTGGATTTAATCTCCAGAAGGTTTAATATCAAGAATTGAGGTACGTAGATCTACCTAGTATTTATTTATGCGTTATAGGCTATGTGAAAATAATGAAGAACTAAGATTATGGGATTCATGTTTATTTGTGATGAATGGCTTAACATAAATAATTATAGTTTACATGTGGTATCAAAACTTATGGTTTAGGAACTCGTTATTTTTCACTAAAATTTGCATAAATAATATATATATATATTAATTTATATATATATATATATTTAAAGTATAATTAAATAATTTATTTTGTTTAGGAACTGTTGGTATTTTAGATACAGTTTTGTGGGTACCTATAATGTCTTATTAAGTGTTGTGATGTTTGATGAGTTTGTAAGTATAATGCTTCCTCGTTTTCCGAGCTTAATATTTGCCTTAAAGTCAATTGCTTATATAAAAGCAATGCAAGATGCACTAAAAGGCAAACAAGATATATGGGGTTAGTTTCTTGGTCTTTGTGCGTGATTGTAACATGAATTAAAAGTTTTAATGGCTTATGGTATTGTTAGAAGAAAATTACTGTTATATTTGATTGTCTAGAAAATTAAAATAATTAAATAAATAAAATATTTGTATTGATTTATTTTATTAAAAATTTAAATTTCTAAAATAATGTGAGAGTCCAGAAATTTAATTTAATCTTATTGGACATTTAAATAATTTATTATTTTATATCATTACATACATATATGATGGACAATCAATTTTAAATTGATTCAATTCTGATTTTCAAGTCTAAAAATAAAAAAAAAATAATATGTTTTATTATGTATATAAATAAAATGATTTTTTATTGATTTTTTTTTTTTTTGGACTATTAAATTTCTGAGATTGAACCTACTTAAATTTGGATCGATTAGTATGAGTATGTGTGCATAATATTAAATGGATAAATTAATGATGAATTAGTATCTAACTAATTTAATATTCATGTTTATGAGGGTTCGTGCTACCAAAGTGGCCTAACCATAATAGTCGATGAATATTAATTTTAGTAGTAAATATAACTTAATGATGAATTAATTAATGTCTAATTTAATATTCATATTATATGAAGATTGGTAGCTACCAAAGTGGCCCAATCAAATGATTGATGAATATTAATTTTTTGTAGTAAACATAATTAATCATAAATTAGTTACTATCTAATTTAATATTCATATTATGTAGAGGTTGGTAACTACTAAAGTGGTCTAACCATAATGGTTGGTGGATATTAATTTTAGTAGTAAACATAATTGCAATATTTCATGAATTATGATACTTTTAATTTCTTGTGATATTCATGAATATTGAATTTATTTAATTATGAGAAATAATTTCTCAAAGGGAATTGATTTTTAAGTGATTGAATGAACATTAAGGAATTGTATGTATTTTTTAATTGGGTAGATATAGGATATGGAAAGGTAACATATCTGTTTAATTAAATAATGTATCACCAATGAAGGTATATATATAAATACAAATAAGCATCATTATTAGTATTTTATAGTTGCCACCCAAAGGGGTATTATAGTTATACATTGTATTTATATTTTTAAGTTATATATAAACATGTTGTTAACTCAAAGTATTACTGTTGTGAGTATTTTATCTTATTATGTTTGTTTTATTACATCCCTTAATACGCATGCTACATCTGTTTTGATTCTCAATAGGACTAACTTCTCATAATGGAATGAGTAAGTTAAGTATTATGATTATGCGAATTATTGTTTCCCATAATGATACTGCTAAAGAATATTTGACTATAAGAATGTTTTCGTTTTGTAGATAAATATCTAAAACAAAAATTATTAATTGATGTCACTACTATGCATTTGTGTTGGTACTCGTACCATGTATGAACATAATTTTGAGATGAATAATATTGCTACAAAATTGAAATCCTTATGGATAATTGTAGATGAGAATTTTCTAATTCAATTCATTCTCATTTTTTTGTCTATTTAGTATGGGTCATTCGAATTAACACTATTAAGACAAGTGGAAAGTGAATTAATTGACCATTATGTTAATTTAGGAGTACACAAGACTTAAGTAGTAAAGTAATTATTATGTTCATCTCATGACCCAAGAAGTTAGAAAGAAATTAGAGAATAAGCCTGAAAAGACATTTAGTGAGCATAACCCAAAATTAAAAGATTTAAGTCAATCTACTAAAATAAAGGAATGTAATAATGTAAAAGTGTCATTAATGTATTGAACACTTTTAGAAAGATTACATGGAATATAAAGAATGATTTGAAAAAAATGATAAGCCTTTGGCTTTTGTATATATCGAATTACTTATTAAAATTCTTTCTAATACATGATAGAGTGATTTAAGTACTAAAGTTTATGTTTCTAATAGATGCAAGAATTTCTTATGGCCTAAACCACAAATTAAAATAAGAATTTCTTATTTATGTAATTGGGAAAAAAGTTTTGTTGAAACTGTTGTGACATTACGTTTAATGTTAGACAGTGGATTTTATTTAAATTATTTTAAACTTTTTATATTTATTCAATTTCCTATAATTTGATTTTATTTCAAAACTTAATGTTAATGGTTATTCATTTAAATTTGATAATGATGTTTATTTAAGAAATTCTAATTTGTAAGTTATGGTATTATTGTTGATAATTTCTGTAAATTCAAACTTGATAGTTTATTTATTAAAAAACTTTTTGATCTTGCATCATAATGTTATAATTAAGTGTAACTCAATTAATAGAAAATTTATCTTTCTTGTGGTATAAAAGACTAAGTCAATATCTAATGAAAGGTTAGGAAAATTAGTAAAGAATGTGATTTTTCTGAATCTAAACTTTAATGATTTTGGTGCGTGTGTGGATTGTATTAAGGGTAAACAAACCAAACACACAAAGAAATGAGCCACAATAAGTATAGGGTTTCTTGAAATTCTTCATACATACATTTGTAGACCTTCTGATGTTCCATCTTTTGGAGGAGAAAAGTATTTAATCACCTTATAGTTGATTTTTCACGTTATGGATATACTTATTTGTTGCATGAAAAATCTCAAACAGTGGGTATTTTTGAAATATACATAAATGAGGTTGAAAAACAATTAGATAGAAAAGTGGAAATCATAAGGTCATATAAAGATAGTGAATATTATGGAAAGTATGATGAAATGCTATATACTCTAACCGTTTGTTAAACTCCTTGAAATATATGGCATTTGTGTTCAATACACCTTGTTATACATGCCACAGCAGAAGTGCGTAGCTGTAAGGCGTAATCGTACTCTTATAGAATTGTTAAAAGTATGTTAAGTAATTCCTCATTACCTATAATGTTGTGAATGTTAAGCAATCTAAAGGGTACAAGTTTTACAATCCTAAACATAGTACGATAATTATTGAAACCGATAATGTCAGATTCATTGAGAATGCTAAAGTCAGTGGGAGTGATAAAAATAAGAATGTGATCATTCAAGAAATTATGGTATAAATTTATTTATTCATAACTTCTAAGGAAATAATTGTTCTTTCAGTTGTTAAACCGTATAACAACGAAAAACAATTGAATGATCAACAACTCCATAATGAGATTGTCACCAATGAAAAGATTGTAGAAGAAT